GCTAACCAGACCAACAGACTTTTTTTTCCAACCCAGGACTGTCATAACCCATATAGACAACAGGAATTCTTATTTCTATAATAAAGTAACAAGATTCACCTAACCTGTGAAAATAAAGTAGTATTAAAGATTTACATGGTATGTTTTTTCCTAAGAGCTCTATATCACTTACACAGATTACAACTCCCAACAGTTAGGAGAAGCTGCCCAAAGATCTGGGATGAGTCTCCCTGCAGACACAGCATGTTCTCCATTCCAGTCAGAGCACTCTCAAAGTACACAATGTACATATAAGCTCTGCCTCTGAAAACTAGATGTGACTTCCCCTACACACACCCCAAAATAACTGCTGGTATACTAATGCTATTTGATAAATGTTTCACAAGTAGACAACTAAGAAATGCAATCAGAAAATCAGAAACTTCTGTCTAGGTGGCTTAAAGCTTCTGAAAGCACTGTTCATGATTCTTTCACTTACTTTCAGTGAATCACAGCTTCTACATTAAAGATTAAGTTTTCCGCCAAGATACCATTCTCCTTGGCAGGAGAAGGGAGTACAAATGGAAAGAGGGGGTGATTACTGGGAGATGGGAACAGCATCTCTAATTCCTGGCTACACAGCTCACTAATCTGGGGCACCTGGGAGCCCAAGGATGATACCTTAGATTCATGACTAAGAAGACCACGTTGGAATTAACTTTAAAAATGATTTAGGAAACTGATACAGATAAGCATGACAATCCCAACAAACTACACAAGCAGTTACTAAAAACATAACATCTAGTTTTGATATATGTACAAGCCCATAATACCTACTGCAGGCAGCACCTAATAACCAAAAGCTGCTATGTCTACTTCAAAGTATTTTACACCAAAATGCACTAACTAGTATTACATTAGGCTGAACCTATTAGTATCAAATGGATCATTTTTTATTTAATGAACTTTCAATTGCATCCTCAGAGAATCATACTACAAGATCATCACCAGAACTGATCTCCCCCTCTGCAACAATAATTCCTACTGAATAGAAATTATAATTCCAGTATCACAGGCCTTTTTCTACCTCCACATTGCCCCATAGATGTGTTCATAGTCGTTATGTACAATTCTTGTCCCAATGTCTATAAATATACCCATTTCTCTCCAATAGAAGAAGCAAATACAGGATATAAACCATCTTTAATTTTAAAAACAAGTCATTCTGAAACCTTTAGTACTCAAATTATCTTAATTTGATGTCAGAGAACATCTCACAAGTGACCAATATATCACTCTGCCCCAACAAACTAGTTTAGTACTGCCATTCTTGAAGAGTGGAAGATACAAAAGCAAATTTTTTTGAGAGAGAGAGAACAAGTGCACAGCACGAGCAGGGAGCAGGGCAGAGAGAAAGGAAAGAGAGAATCCCAAGCAGGCTCTGTGCTGTCAGCACAGAGCCCAACACCGAGCTTGATCCCACAAACCGTGAGATCATTACCTGAGCTGAAATCAAGAGTCAGATAGACACTCAACCAACTGAGCAACCCAGGCACCTCCAAGAAAAAAACTTTTTAATCTACAATATTTACAACAAAAGCGGATTACTTATAAAAAGAAAGGCTCAAAATTATTAGCACAGTTAATATACCTAAGTGAGCATCTTATCAAAAAACATTCAATAAAAGCCACTATGATTTATTTGAACATATATATGGAACATGCCCTGATATTTTAGTAGGGAAAACTTTCTTTATACTCTTAATCACTTCACATCAATTTAGTTTTACAGAACTCATCTTTTCAAATATATACCTTCGTATACACGTATACAAAGGAAAAAACCTGTATTTTTTTAAGTTTTTTTTTTTTTAAGTTTTTTTTGAGAGAGCACAAGTGAAGGAGGGGACAGAGAAAGAGGGAGACAGAGAATCCCAAGTGGGCTCCACGCTGTGAGCCCAGAGCCTGACACAGGACTCAAACTCACAAAACTGTGACATGATAACCTGAGCTGAAATCAAGAGTCAGTCGCTAACTGACAGAGCCACCCAGATGCCCCAAAACCTGTATTTTTAAAGAGAGTGGTCGGAGAGATTTCTCAGGTTGAATTAATATACTACTTAAAATACAAGTCGGGCAAATAATGATGAAAAGGAACTTTACACTCTAACCAAACCACGAAAGTATGACTGTGGTGAATAGTTAAAATCGAGCTACTGTCATAACAGAGAACACAGGGCTTTTCCAAAGCAACCCAAGTCATTTTCAGACACCTCTATTAGATCTTTTTAACTGAGACTATGTTGAGTACCTACCACCTTAAACCTACCCTTTAGACTAACACAGATCAAACTTAATTCCTCTTTCTCAATTGTTGAGCAAATATTTGCAGACAGTAACCCTAAAAACACTCCTCCCCACTCTGTCCTGTCCACAGTTTTGTCTGCTGTGTAAACAGCCCCATTTCCGTCAGGCATTCACCATCACAGGGCTGCAAATGCCCCATTCTACTCCAATATATGGATCCCTTCCAGGTGTGGCCAGTCCTGCACACAATATTTAAGCTGTCCTGTGTCAACATAAGACAGCGGGCGTCCCTATTGCCCGCCTCATGAGGATCCTACAGTTCTAGTAAATGTTATGCTGGTTAACACGGAGGCCACAGTCAGCTAAGAAAGCTGTGCTTTTCCCCAGCAAGTTGCTATTACACCATTATTCCATATCTTAAATTCTAGAGTTTACGTGAGAGTTAACATTTTCTGCTGTTAAACTTCCATCTGATTAGATCTTGTCTCTTGTTCCATCTTAATTCTGATCTTAAGTCCCAGGTGTTCCACTCTATAGCTACCCCTCTAACTACTGAGTAATCTGAAAATCTGATCACACGTCAACACTGTCATCCAAAGAAAAGGAATGTTTATACAGCATATAGCACAAGACCTATCATACAAGTCAGAATTCAGTAACTGTTGAACAAATAAAGGAGTCCATATACTCTTATTTAATCCTAAAAATTCTGTAAGGCATTCTCACCTGTATTTATTATGAGACTACTGAATATGAGAGCTTAGATTACCAGTGATCTTCTGATTCAAAACCGTGTACTCTTTAAACTACCCCTCATTATCTGTCTCTAGTCACTGGCAAAAGTATTAAGTCAGACAAGGATGAGAGCAGAGGTCCCAAAACATCCTCCAAATTATATTTATCCAACAGTCTACAATACAAGTAAAGCCATTCATCTAGCAGTAAGTTATCTACCCAGTCTGTTCCAGATTTCTTGGTGCTACACTCATTTAATGGCTTTTCATTAATATAAATATAATTGATTATTTCCAATGCCATATTAATAAATGAGAAATTTAAATAACTGATATGTTAAAATGAACTGGTGTGAAAACAATGATGCCAAGTTGACTATTTGGTGTTTTAAAAAATCTGCAAATCTTGGGGCCGCTGGGTGGCTCAGTCGGTTAAGCGTCCAACGTCGGCTCAGGTCATGATCTTGCGGTTTGTGGGTTCGAGCCCTGCATCGGGCTCTGTGCTGACAGCTCAGAGCCTGGAGCCTGCTTTGGATTCTGTGTCTCCCTCTCTCTCTGCCCTTCCCCTGCTTATGCTCTGTCTCTCTCTGTCTCTCAAAAATGAATAAATGTTAAAAAAAAAATTTTTTTTTAATCTGCAAATCCGTCTGTGAATGATATTTGCATGTTTAACATATATTTTTGACAAATGCTTACTATTGTCAGATACAATCATGCCCTGGAGAACTTTTCTGGTACTTCCAGGAATTGGGAAATCACAAGGTAATTTTCATAACTCCAATGCTGGGGGGGTGCCTGGTGGCTCAGTCGGTTAAGCGTCCGACTTCAGCTCAGGTCACGATCTCACAGTTTAAAGGTTTGAGCCCACATCAGGCTCCATGCTGACAGAGCAGAGCCTGCTTGGGATTCTCTTTCTCCCTCTCTCTGCCCCCTGTAAGTTCCCCACTCACACATGCTTATGTGCGCATTCTCTCTAAATAAATACATAAATACATAAATAAATGAATCCAATGTTACTATGAATTGGCATTCCTTTTTTTCTCTCAGACCTTAATACCTACTGGCACTTTAGAAGGCAGTACCTTTAATCAGTCAGAAAAGCCCATCTTAACATTATAGGTTCTTTAATATAAACTATAATTAATTCATCACAAACACTGAAACCTTGTTCTCTTACTATGTTCCTTTTAATTCAGTAGCTACCTTAACTATAATTTATTTTGACTCCTCTCATCTCAAAACAAGAAAAAAAAAACAAAGATTAGGTATCAAAAAGACCAGATCAATAATAAAAGGCTAAAGAAAGAACATTCATAGTTGTAAAATTTGCTCTCTGACACAAAAACAAGCATTCTAGCTTTTTCCCTGTTTCTTTTCATCCTGTGAGAAATATCTACATTGGAAAAGGAGTTAACAGACTGGTTCCTAACTTAAAATTTCACTTCACAAGAGAGCCTTAATAAAGAATATATGGGGGCGCCTGGGTGGCGCAGTCGGTTAAGCGTCTGACTTCAGCCAGGTCACGATCTCGCGGTCCGTGAGTTCGAGCCCCGCGTCGGGCTCTGGGCTGATGGCTCAGAGCCTGGAGCCTGTTTCCGATTCTGTGTCTCCCTCTCTCTCTTCCCCTCCCCTGTTCATGCTCTGTCTCTCTCTGTCCCAAAAATAAATAAAAAAAAAACGTTGAAAAAAAAAAAATTAAAAAAAAAAAAAAAGAATATATGCCTTGCAAAGAATACATAGACCTAAAAAGTTAAATCAAGTAAATCCTAATGGTTGTGTTCATCACCCCTGGTTTTGTGCAACAGAGCCATCAAATAACCACGGAATTATAAATCCAAGCAATGCTACAACTCCATCTACTGGAGAGGCACAGGTAACTGAGTCAATTTTAAATAAATGGATCCTTACATGTGAGGCTTTTAGGAACTAATATCATGGAAGTTCAGATAAAAATACTTCAAAACAGTAAGAAAGCCTTACCTACATCTTTTCGTCCTGGTTTTTCAAAACGTCTGTCACCTCTAGAAAAGATAAAAGAAGTTTCAAACAGGACTTAGGAGTAATATATAGATTTCCTATACATGACAACCACTGCTGTATCTGTCCTTAATAGCATTGCTTTCCTTTTCAAATTGTAAAAACAAACAGCGCCCAACATTTGGAAAATATAAGAAAACACAAAGATGAAAACAAAAATATCCACTATCTCACTTACCAAAAGCCAGCTTCTATTGACCCAGAAATGTTTTTTAAAATTAGATAAATTTTAATTAGATAGATGCTTTACTTTAGATACACACTATATATAGTTTTATATACTATTTTTGGCACGTGTTTTCCCACATCATTAGATATTTTCAAAATCATCCTAACTTTTAATGGTTATAGAATATTCTATTGTGTGGATATACCATTACATAAGAAGCCATGCTGATATTAAGCTATTTGGCTTGTTTCTAATTATATTATAAATATCATCACAGTGAACATCTTTGTACATACAACTTTGTGGAACTGCCCTCATTCATCAACAGACTTCACAGAGTCACAAAGAACAGAGAAGATGCTTTGACTGATAGCAACAAAAAATAAAATGTCAATTGTCAATGCCTCCCACTGAACACTAATAAAATAACAAATCCGACTAACTATGAAATATCCATGCTGGCACTAACATATTAACCTATTTATCTCCAATGCTTCTTTCATTAAATAAGGATCATTTAAAACTTTCTAACATACATCTTGATACTCAATAATTAATAGCATTTTTTAAGTGAAATCTTATAACTATACAAAGAAACGTCTCCTCTGGAGAAAGCAGAAAAAAATTTTTTTTACACCAAGAAGTCTTTATGCCAAGATCTGGATCTTTTAGTTACCTTTCCTCCCAGCTCTGTGACCTATGCATTTCCCTGCCACCTCCTCGACCAAAGACACCCTCTACTTCATCAAAGCTTCTTTGGTAGAAACCACATTCACCTCTGCCTCTGCCTGAAAATAAGAAAACAGAAAAAATGATACTCAGATGTCAATATTTGACACATATTCAACACCAACGATTAATCTTTGAAGTTCTGTCTCCACACAAAGAGGATGTCTATGTTTAAACATTTAGCAAGGCCTGACGGATCTTTACCTGAGAGACCAATAATGGCACTGAAGAGGCTAGACCACAGGAGGTTGAAAGAAACAAGTTAGAAAACAGGTGTTAAGAGTCCCAGTCCTGAATAAGAAACAGTGTCAACGTTAAGTTAATAAAAAGTTTAACAGTAAAATTCTAAGAAGATCGGTAAACTATTACTACAAATTGGACCTTTTATTGGATTATTTTCAACAAAAATGAAAGATTTAGAGAGCTTCAGAAGAGAGCAGATAAAATATACAAAAGTGAAGCACAAACGTTAATATAATTTATCTAACTCCACAGAAAGGATATTTAAGGGGCGCCTGGGTGGCTCACTTGGTTGGGCGTCCAACTTCAACTCAGGTCATGATCTCACAGTTCATGAGTTGGAGCCCCACTTCGGCCTCTGTGCTGACAGCTCAAAGCCTGGGAGCCTGCTTTGGATTCTGTCTCTCTCTCTCTCTCTCTCTCTCTCTCCCCCTCCTTCACTCATGCTCTGTCTCTGTCTCTCAAAAACAAATCAACATTAAAAAAAACTTAAAAAAAAAAAAAAAAAAAGAAAGGATAATTTAATATGGCCAACTCTATCAATTTTGGGAACTAACTCCGTAAAGGATGTTCTACACCAACAAAAGCACTCTTTCCCCTTTGCTCAAGTCTTCAAGGAAGAAAAACATCAGGACTAAATTTGAACCCGAGCTAGTGAGAATGTGCTGTATGCAGAGACTGAGAGGTTCTAAATGTTCAGATGTAAACTGGTCTTTACTGAAGTCAATTTGGTCAGATCTATCAAAATCTGACTCAACGATTCTAACCACAATTTATCCTAACAGAAATACACAAACATGCAAATACATATATATGCAGATGTTCACTGCAATGTGTAACACCAGAAATAACCTAAATAAATTTTGATAATATTAAATTTTAGTAGAACATTATGAAGCCACAGAAGATAAAACGCTGACATTAAAAGAAATCTACATTATTCTGTTGAATAACAGAATAATACTTAAAATAACTGCGCTTATATAAATTATATGGCTGTTGGGATCAGGAGGAACATCCATCCAACTGGTGCTCTGGGGGCAGAAAGCAATATGAACGTTTTAGCTTTATACTTTCTGCACAATGTGAGGTTTTCTCAACTAATGCGCACCATTTGTATCCAACACACAGATGAGAAAACTGGAAAAGGGTGGGGAGTTTAGAGCTGTACTTAGATAAAATATTACCCATCATCCGTAGCTCACCATTTTTAACAGTGTAAAAACACCCAAAACAAAATGATGATGAATTACGAACGAAAGAATGCATTCCAAAGCTAAATACAAGTGAGTTAAATAATTATTTCAAATATCCACATAGGATTTCTACCTTCTGCTTATAATGTATGAAAACCTGACTCAGAATATACTTGTACTTTTATGTAACCTTACTATGAAATGCACAGAAAGGTACCCCTCATAACTAGTCCAGGTAACCCACATTTCTTCATCTGTAAAATGGAAATGAGACTAGGCTTAAAATGTAATAATCTAAAAGTTACTTTCCAGTCAATCTAACTTTATATCAACATAAAGTTGACGCCCCAGTTTCCCATTTCAGTACCTCTCTCCTTAGGAAATGTATACATTTTTTTAAAAATAGTATCTGCATTCTATTAATCAAAAAGGTGCATGTTATTTGAAATACAGTATCAAATGTGTATAATAATATAATTTAGTGTTTAGACAATGCCTGATGCACATACAGATTCCCAGTAGTTTATAATAACATAATTACTCATTCGATAATATCCTTATAATAACACGGCTACCAGTGAATATCAACCCACAGGCTAGGAATCCCTGCTTTTGATAAGATACTGCAAATGTATACATTTTATGTAAAATCCTAAAACAGTATAATGCCAAGTGTTATGTAACACTGGGGTGGATCTCCTGCAATGATGATTCCTGGGGTGTAAGAAAGTCCCCTCTTCTGAAGAGGACAATTTTCTCAGTAAACCAATAAGTACCAAGCACCTTGAAAAAGTATTTTATTTTAGAAACCTGAATATGAAAAAAGCCTTCAGGTTGCCAGAAAAACAAGCAAACCACAGACAAAAATATTTTCTGCCAAGTTAACTAGCACTGGTACTGGTCCTCCTTATTAGACTAAAGCTTATTATAAGGAGACACATAAAAAGAATCAGATTCTAGAGCTTTCCAGTTGTAAGGACCATAATCATCTCTAAATACAGTTCTCATATAAGCAGCAGCAAGTACACATAACATGATGAATCTCTCACACAGCTAAATATTCAAAGGACTGTCCTATTGTCTGAGATTTCACCCGATTCTTTTGGGGGATTAAAATATACTTCCTTTAAACGATGATAAAGACAAGTGGCTGACAGCTGTGTGGATCTGCTGTACTCTTAAACACCTTAACCAGGTAAAATAGAAAGATGACATTTTACACTGTTTCCCCACCCATTTGTTTGTTTAAATTTTACTAGTTCCCGATATTTAGAAGTCTAGACGTCAGTCGGTTTTCACATCAAAATCTCCTCAAGTTTGGGGCACCTGGGTGGCTCAGTCGGTTAAACATCCAACTTAGGCTAAGGTCATGATCTCGTGATTCATGAGTTCAAGCCCCGCATCGGGCTCCGTGCTGACAGCTCAGAGCCTGGAGCCTCCATTGGATTCTGTGTCTCCCTCTCTCACTGCCCCTCTCCTGCTCACACTCTGTGTGTGTATGTGTGTGTGTGTGAGTGTGTGTGTGTCTCTCTCTCTCAAAAATAAATAAAATATTTTAATAAAAAAAAATCTCAAGTTAAAAAGAGCCAAAATAACCATCTAACGTTAGCTTTGCCCATGGGGGGGAGCCATAATAATCATCACTTAACCAACAAGTTAAAATTAAGTACTAACTAAAGAAAACAAAACCAGATTAATGATCTCATGAAATCATCGGAAAAGAAATCACATTTTGGACAATGATGCTAAAAATGTTTTTTACAAAGTGAATTCATTCATTTGACCAGTTTCATACCATTTGTTCACATCAATGTTAATTAAGTCACTGCTTTTCTCACAGTATCTATCTTTTTGCACATGCCCAGTTTAAGTTCTGAATGTAGGACACTATGCAATAACCCCCCACTTGAAAGAATCAGAAAGCAGGGAGAAATTTCCCAATCCTTCAGTTTGTTTCTCAATATGGAGTTTTTTAAAGACTGTTTAGAGAGACTGGTGTGTATTTACAGCACACAAAGTTGGTGATCACTTGAGGTTCACAGAAGTGCTGGCTTGTGGACCACCCTTCTTGAATAATCATCTCTGTACAACTTACCCTAAAAAGCACTGGAGGCAAAGCCACCTGAGTGCAACCTCCCCCTGTTGCCAGCCTACCAAAGAAAATCATAGGCAACACCCAAGCAGTAGCCCAGAGCCATCTCCACATCACCACTGCACCACACCACCAAGACACAAAGACCTCAGGTGAATTCTGGACCAATGGAACCTCACTGCACGTGAGAAGCTGAATGGCATGGGGAGCTTTTGAAGCACACACATGCCTAAATCTCACCACCCAGGATCTGACTGCAGAAGTACTTCTAACAAACCCCCAGGTTAAAAACTACCGTTCTGGAAACTGACAAATTCAGAAGGAAAAACCACGTATACCTTGCTAACAGTACGTGGCCTACAAGCAGAGAGCTTTAGCTGCCCCATTATTATTCGCCACCCCTGCGCTCCCACATGCTACACTTTTTTTTTAAGTTTACTTATTTATTTTGAGAGAGAAAGACAGAGAGAGTGCACAAGCAAGGAAAGGGCAGAAAGAAGGAGAGACAGAATCCCAAGCAGGCTCTACGCAGAGCCTGACGTGGGGCTCAAACTCACGAACCGTGAGATCATGACCTGAGCGGAAATCAAAAGCCAGACACTTAACCAACTGTGCCACCCAGGCGCCCTGCATTCCCACATTCGGAATGGACTACCGAAAGTGTCCTCTTCACAGGAGTGCAGAACTTAATATGGCCTCTATAAAGGCTGAGTATAAATTATTCTATTCATAAGGCACAACTTTAAGAAAAAGAGAATCCAGATATTCCACACCCTTAATCACACCAACCTGGGTGGTGTGGTATGTGGAGACCGTGGCCTCTGGCTCTGCAGATACCCAACTCTTCCACTTCTGAAGCACTTCTTCAAAAATTACAAGAGATGTCTAGACTACTGCGATGAGTTAACCAACTCAAGAGGTAAATGCTGAATATTTATATTGAAAACATCCAGAATGGCCTCATGTTGCAGAAAATCAATGAATAAAAAACAAGGAACAGACAGCGAAAAAACAAGTAATATCAACAAAATAATTCTTCGGAGACACAAACCTATAAAACCATAGGTTAAGTAAGTTGACTGATACATAATTATTTTTTGCTCTACCCTCTAAAAGAGCCCTGGCGCTGATGAGACAGAAGGCTTTTACTAACGCCTCTCTCTGGCTGGGGACACTCCTCGCACACACGGCCTTATATAGAAAGGGTGTGTCACTAAGGCCTGCGGGGACTTAGCTGCTGCCTCAGCAGCCAAGGCACTTCCCAGAGCTATGGCAAAGGGCAAGGCTCCCTGGGGATGAGGAATATGGATGGGGATTTGCCAAAGTTAACGAGGAACCCTCACGCTCAAGAATTAGCCTCTTCTGCTCCAAATCAGGAGGTGTGGAGCTGATACGCCGAGAAATGATTCAGGAAACAAATATTCAGACACTTAACACAGAGTGAATGTCAAAAGCAGTTTTTTTTAAATCAAGTATTGTATGTTTAAAGTGACTTCTCTCTCCTCTCCCTCCATTATTACATTTGCCACATGGAAGCTCACCTCGCCCTCTTGAAGAACTTCGACCTCTAGGAGCCCCCACCACTGTTCCTCCTCCTCCTCGTCCTGTCAATCGCAGGACAGCAGCACTATTAACAGACATGGAAAAGTTTCTCTGTCGAAAACAAAAACAAAAACGAAAAAAAAAGAAAGAAAAAAAGGATAAAACAGATAAAACTGCATGTTGCTTCCCCCCATCTCCCGTTCCAACTCTAAAATGGCATCTAATTACTACAAACAATGGGAAACCATAACTACACCGCATGCTAAGATGATCCAAAACCTAATTTTACCTGAAAATCTCAAATTAACATTTCAGATCAACAAACACTGACAACCAATGCCTTATATCTTATTAGGTTTTGTGAGGAAATATTAAATAAACTCTAATCACTGTTATGTATCCAGAAGCAGACAGAATAAATATGCACCATAATGAACTTGGTAGAAGAAATTCTGTTTGAAAAGATACTTTATTATTTTATTAAAAATTTTTTTCATGGTTTTTTTTTTATTTATTTAAATTTAACTTAGTTAACATACAATGTAGTATTGATTTCAGGAGCAGAACCCACTGATTAGGCACCTACATATGACACCCAGTGTTCATCCCAACAAGCGCCCTCCTTAATGCCCATCACCCATCTAGCACATCCCTTCCCCATCCACCTCCCCTCCAGCAACCCTCAGTTTATTCTCTGTATTTTAAGAGTCTCTTATGGTTTGCCTCCCTGTTTTTATCTTATTTTTCCTTCCCTTTCCCTATGTTCATCTGTTGTTTCTTAAATTCCACGAGTGAAATTATACGGTATTTATCGTTCTCTGACTTATTTCACATGGCATAATACCCTCCAGTTCCATCCACACTGTTGCAAATGGCAAGATTTCATTCTTTTTTTGTTGCTGAGTAATACTGCATAGTGTGTGTGTGTGTGTGTGTGTGTGTGTGTGTGTGTGTGTGTGTGTACCACATCTTCTTTATCCATTCATCCATCGATGGACATTTGGGCCCTTTCCATACTTTGGCTATTGTTGACAACACTGCTATAAACATTGGGGGGCATGTGCCCCTTCAAAGCACTTCCTGTATCCTCTGACTTAATACCTAGTGTTGCAACTGCTGGGTCGTAGGGTAGTTCTATTTTTAATTTTTTGAGGAACCTCCATACTGTTTTCCAGAGTGACTGCACCAGTTTGCATTCCCACTAACAATGCAAAAGGGTTCCCCTTTCTCCACATCCTCACCAACATCTATTGTTACCCGACTTGTTAATTTTAGGCATTCTCACCAGTGTGACATGGCATCTCATTGTGCTTTTGATTTGTATTTCTCTGATGCTGAGTGATGCTGAGCATCTTTTCATGTGTCTGTTAGTCATCTGGATGTCTTCCTTGGAAAAGTGTCTATTCATGTCTCCCGCCCATTTCTTCACTGGATTATACTCTACATAGAAAACCCGAAAGAGGGGCGCCTGGGTGGCGCAGTCGGTTAAGCGTCCGACTTCAGCCAGGTCACGATCTCGCGGCCCGTGAGTTCGAGCCCCGCGTCGGGCTCTGGGCTGATGGCTCGGAGCCTGGAGCCTGTTTCCGATTCTGTGTCTCCCTCTCTCTCTGCCCCTCCTCCGTTCATGCTCTGTCTCTCTCTGTCCCAAAAATAAATAAACGTTGAAAAAAAAAAAAAATTTAAAAAAAAAGAAAACCCGAAAGACTCCACCAGAAAGCTGCTAGAGCTAATATGTGAATTCAGTAAAGTCAAAGGATATAAAATCAACGTACAGAAATCGGTTGCATATCTATACACTAATAATGAAGCAGCAGAAAGAGAAATCAAGGAAATCAACCCCATTTACAATAGCACCAAAAACCATAAAATATAGGAATAAACCTAACCAAGGAGGTAAAAGATCTGTACGCTGAAAACTATAGAAAGTTTATAAAAGAAATGGAAGAAGACACACAAAAAAATGGAAAATGTTTATTTATTTATTTTGAGAGAGAGAGAGACGGAGCACAAGCAGGGAAGAGGCAGAGAGAAGGAGAGAGAAAATACCAAGAAGGCTCCCCACTATCAGCACAGAGCCCGGCTCGGGGCTCAATCTCATGAACCACGAGATCACAACCTGAGCCAAAATCAAGAAATGGATTCTTAACCAACTGAACCACCCAGATGCCCCTGAAAGGATTCTTTAACTAGTGAAAGGTAGAAACAAGAGATGGTCACCAAAAAGTCTGAATCAAGAGTAGCAAGATAAAGAGAAAAATGATCATTTTTGCCTCATTCTGCTCACCAATGTGAATTAGTAGCACCAAGTATTATTTAATAGAATGACAAGAATCATAAATAAAAGGGAAGGGCCAAATAAGAATCTACATAAACAAGATCAACCATCTTAATGGGGAGGGGAAGAGCATGCTTGAAAAAACCAAAATCCCAATTAGTCATTAGCCTGCATTTGCAACCACAGCCAATTTGGATAGGGTCAAAAACAATGGGATAGTAGTGAGTGGGAATCCTTCAAACAGGAAAGGGGAAGATAAAGGAACACTGGAAGCCTAGGAGCCAAAATATATGTTTAGTTGACACTTCTGGATAAATGCAATACGTAGGCCTTAGGAAACAGTAAAACAAGAAGCAATTTTTAAAATCTTGAAAATGATCTATAAAATATAAAAATCCTGGGCATTTGAAGGAGAATTTTGCAAGGGAGTTTTAAACTCAGAAAATGTTGGAATATATCCTTACAGGAATACTTTCTGTATACTCAGAACCTAACAGACATTTATGCAAACACGCAGAGGTATGGCACAATGAAGAAAATGTAACTTGTGCATGGCTGCAGCTAAGGACCCTGCTAGTGGAAGGACAAGGAACAAGGCTTAAGAGTTTGGTTGAAGAGAACCTTGTGATTCAACTAATAATTAAAATCCAAATTGTGTTTCCACTGTGAAGTCCCCATCTGCAGTTTCAATTCAAAATCAACTGAAATGTGATTCTATACCTCTTCTAAGGAAATCAACATGCAACTGGTTAAAAAACTTCTTTCATTACTGAATTTTTTAATTCTTTAATTTATTTTTGAGAGAGACAGAACGTGAGCAGGCAGGGGCAGACAGGGGGGAGACACAGAAGCCAAAGCAGGCTCCAGGCCCTGAGCTGTCAGCACAGAGCCCAACGCAGGGCTTGAACTCACAAACTGTTGAGATCATGACCTGAGCCGAAGTCAGACGCTTAACCGACTGAACCATCCAGGCGCCCCCATTACTGAATTTTTTTGTTTTTTAATTTATGGGTCATTTTCTCATTACCTTCTTCATTAGTTATCTTTCTCAGAATTTTATTTATTACAATTTGTTCTGATAAATTTTAGAAATTTATAATGTAAGTAAGTTTTTTTCCTTTGAGTTTCATAGGTATATAAGCGTATAATCAAGTAACTTCAAAACTCAAGATTTAAGGTCTAATCAGTAACTAAAATTTACAGGATGATGCCCAACACTTGTTTCAAGCTGTATGTTAAAAAACATACCTAATAATAATTTTTAAAAAACTGGCTGAAACAAATGTGTCAACTTACCTTATAGCACAGAGCAACCGGGGGAAGAAGTGCCTCTGGGAACACAATTAAGCTATGTGTTTGGGCTATGACATCCCAAAATCTAGATTAATATAATCTAATACTGGAATAACAGAGCTCTGGGGCACCTGGGTGGGCTCAGTCAGTTAAGCCTCTAACTTCGGCTAAGGTCATGATCTCACAGTTCATGAGTTCAAGCGCCATGTTGGGCTCTGTGCTGACAGCTCAGAGCTGGAGCCTGCTTCAGATTCTGTCTCCCTCTCTCTCTCTCTGCCTGTCCCATGCTCATGCTCTGTCTCTGTCTCTCTCAAAAATAAACATTAAAATTTTTTTCTTTTTTTTTTTTT